TATTACTCTGTGCATTCTTCATTTTTCCAATGTATTTTTGGGTGAAATTCAAAACCAATCCAAATGATATCCGGGCAAGTTTCGTTGATGATAGTAAGTTGGTTACATTGTAATATAGCCTTATAGTGTCAATCAAATCTTTTTTTTTTTTTTTTTACTATTATTGAAGAGCTGAAAATTGTAATATTTGTTACATCAAAGTTGAATTTTTCTCAACATAGTAGAAATAGGTTTATATATGCACTTGTTGAAAATACTTAAAGGTTTAAAAGTCTGTGGCATGAACATTAGGGAGTTTTTGAAGTGTAATGTTTTATTTTCTTAGTGAAACATATGCATGAAATGTTTGATATATTTATTCAGATATTCAGGTGTTTTTACATAGAAGCAATGGTATAGTATATTGGGAGAATGTAATTCTGTTTGTTATTAGCTACAGACTCTGATGAGGAAACAGATGGTATGGGAAAGTCTAAAGATTCGATTCATAAACATTTAAAACACAAGACCAGTTCACCCTATATTTGGTCTGCAGATGTAGTAGGGTGAGTTATGGTGGTTAAAATTCTTGTTTGTTTGGTTTCTTTTTTCTCCTCACTACTATTGAGTATATGTAGCAGAATGAAAGGTAATACATTTTGTTGGTACTTGTAAGGTTACAGGTATATTCTGTAAAGTATAATATTTGTTTTAAGTAATTAGAATAATAAAACAATATCTCAATTCAAATTGAAGTGAAAGAATAATAAAAGTGTGTGCATTTATTTTGAATGTTTACTTAGTAATAGAAGATAAGTATACTTTCTGAACAAAGTTGTTCAGGCTTCTCGTTAATTAACAGTTAGTTGTCTATGTTTGCTCCTTTTTTAAAAGTAAGCTGATATTTATCTTGAACTAATAATATTCAGATAAATCGTTTATTTTATCAGAAAAAAATTTTATTTTTGGTTTCATTGATCTTCAAGTAGGACATCTGTCTAAATTTTGCAATAATATTGGTTGAGCAATTTATGTATTTCAAATAAATGAACAAATCATTCATACAGAAGAAAACCAGTATGGGAAACAGGAAAATACATGAAGTTTGTTTACTTCTGCATGTAATACTTGTAACAACATATTCATTTTGAGTAATATCTAAACAGTCAGAAAAGATTTTATGCTCTCAAATAAAAAATTGTAATTCACCATTTATTTTGTAAATTTGATTTCTGCTGTGGCTTTAGAGATCACAAAAGAGAATTACCACAGAAATCCATAAATGGTGTTACAGTCACACATCCATCAATATTTAGAATGATCTATCTTATGTGGAGTGCTCCTGTTACCAAATTATGGACATTCCAGGTGAGACTCGTGCATGTAGTTGTGCTTATTAAAACACATTTTATCTGTATTTGCTATGATTATATAAAAATACAAATGCTGTTACTGTTGTCTTTATATAAACTTGTTTCATTTATGCACTGTTTTGGATTACAAGTTATTTCTTTTGTGAAATGTGATTGTTAGATAAAAGGTATTTTTTCTCAATCATATGCATGTTTAAATTAGATATTACTTTTCATGCAGTTGCTTCTATATGTTTTGCCCTCTGGTTTGCATTAAGAGACTGTTTTTTATTAAATCTCTTTCTGTAATAAATGTAAGAATGCGTTCTTTATTCTACCTGATGCAGGAAAATATTGTTGGGCGTGTTTTTTCGGATTATCTAATCAAGATAATCCTAAGTCCAGTCCAGGTAACAATAATTAATTGATTTATTTCTTCATGAATGTTTGATACAGACTGCATTTGCTTGTACGCCTGGCCTAATTCACTTGCAGACTTCTTGGCAAATTGATTGGTTACAAACATGCTGTACTAATTTGACTTAATTAAATTGCAGAGAAATAGACACTAAAACTTTCACTGTCTAAGTCACTAAAAACACTGAACTGATAAACTCACTGAATACTCATTCTAGTATATATTTATATAGTTATCATATTTCTTTTACTATACGAAATTTCTAGATCATTTGATCATCATCTTTGTTTCAATTTTGTTTTGCAAGTCCCTTTCAGATAAAGATTTAAGTGATCAGTTTCAAATTTCCTTGATACAAGTGACTAGTCAATTATAAAATACTAAATTATTGTTTCATTCTTCAATAACGAGCATGAAAAGTTGTAAGGAATAACATATATCAGGTTCAGTTTTACAGTTTTTTTTAGGATACATAATCGGAAGAAATTGTTTGGAAAGTAAATTAGGTTAATGGGGAAAAAATCTAACACCATTTTTTTGCCATCTTTGTTTGTTTGGTTTATCAGTGTTAATGTTTTATACAAATTAAGCTTTAGGCTGAGCTTTATTAGCTGTTGAAAAGCTCTTTACGAGCAAATTTAAACTATTAAATGAATAAACATATAATTTCTTTGGTTCTGTTCAACTATATCTGGCTTGATTTATTTATTTTTCCCATATAAGTTCTCTGTTTTGTGATACAGTACATTAAAACTGTAATTTTCAGGTTTTTTACATAATTTACCTTGGGTTGTTCAGCATAGCTGTTCTATGGCCATCTTGTGGAAATTTCTATTTAGATGTTACTGTTTGTGTCTGGACGTTTCTTTTGGTTGTGGAGGTCATCAGACGAACATATCGTCTATACATGGTAAGGATATTTGTAAGCATGTACAGAAAGAAAGAAAATACGACTCTCTCATTAAAGATGACGTGTTTTTGAAGAAAGCAAACTGAGTCCTTCTGTGTTTTAGTTAAAAAGGTGGCTTGTTCATTGAAGAAGTTACTATAAGTTGACTGTTTGTAACTATTCTAATTTATATATTTACTTTAGGAGCAATGTTTAGTAGTGATTAATATATATAAATGGCTTAAGTTATAAAATAACTGTGTAGATATACAAGAATAATCTGTTGGAATATATATCTTAAAATTGTGTGTATCTTTTATTTCTATAGAGATATCCCAGTGCTCCTCTGTTGCTGAAGTGTTGTGAAATCCTGTTTATTATATCCTTTGTCATTCTGTTTTCAATTGGCCGTATTTTTCATGTCGGTGACATTTTTGATCCCTATAATGAAAGGGTACTGATGTGTTTTGGACTGCTGTACTTTTATTATCGCCTCATTGCTATATATCTCCCATTATCTCCAACTTTGGGACCTCTCCTATATAAAGTGAAATTGATGGTATGTTCCTAATGTATATGCTTTGAACATAAGAATTTAGAGTTCCCATAACAATTTTTGAGTTGATTTAGATTTTAAACATTGTTGCTGTAACTCAGAGTGAGGTTAATATGTATAATAGATAATGTTAATGTAATGTATTTTCATACTGAGAACACTGAGTTGAAGTTTTAAGTCATGCAAGCTCTTTTTAGAGAATCTTTTCATTAGTTATTTTTCTTACACGTGGCTGTTTGGTTTTCCTTGTGAATTCCTAAGACTACAGATGAATCTTACCAGCTTTGAGGTGTATAATAAAATAAGAAATAGTAAATAAATTGATTTATGCACATATGGTAGATTGAGTTGTCAAAAATTATGTTCTGGGTTCAATCCTGTTTGTGGGAGATGCAAAAACTTTAATTACACAGTGGTACAACACAGTAATGTGAATATTAAGTTATCATTGATACAGTTTTTTAAGACATTTCGAAATACTTCATTTGTATTTGCTTACAACCAAAATAACTTAGTGCATCAAGTTATGATAAATTAGCAAGTAAAATTTATTAACAAAATACAATGGTTTATCAGCTGTACATTTTTGTTATCACGTTTATCTACACTGGAAATTGTGATGGCGTAATTAATAAAAATGTGTTTTAAAGAACCTTTTACTTTTCATCACTTGTTACACACACACACGGTTGTTTTACATTTTAGACATAATATTTCACCCGTCAATAACTGTCGTGTACTGAACACATATGCTGTTGACAGCCAGGGACTCAGCCCACCTACTAAGTTCTGATGTTTTGCAGACAAAAAGAGACCTCAAGTTTTATTTTACACACCTTTGGTTTATTATATCTGTAGTGGAGAATTAACATAATTAAAAATAAAAGTATCTGCAATCAGTCACGTATTAATTCACATTTTGTAGGTTTGATCATTTTTCTTAGGCATTTTATTCCATATATTAAAAACAAAATCACAGTTTAGTGTAATGAATATGGAAAATAAATTTAGAATATATCAGATGATAATTATATCCATTCACATTTATATCTACAGTTGTTAAGCTGAGATTGTATTTTTATTTTAAAATGTTCATATTGTGTCAAACCCCATTTAAGGTAACTGTGGACTTTGTAAACTTCATGCGTATGGCCATACTCGTGATTATTAGCTGTGGAGTGGTCATACATGCTGTCATCTACCCAGACTTCCCATTAAGCAGTGAACTTTTCAGGCGGACGTTTCATAGAGCTTGGTTCTCCATATTCTTAGCACCAATTGAAGACTTAGAAGGTGATTTTTTTCTTTTGCATTTATGAAATAAAATTTGAAGACAATCACTGACTTATTTAAAAAGAAATTTGTGTTACTAATTCAGAGGCATTTGCATAGATCACTATTCCTTCGTATTTAAAATACGTTGATTTATTTTTAAGTACGGTAGTGCTTAATAGTAGGGATCGACAAGGATTCTAAATAATTCACTTACCCGAAAAACCATCTTGATTCGTATAACTAAATGAAGCAGTCTAAATTTGCCAACCAAAGTAGGGATGTAAAATCATTTTAAAACCTATCTAACTAGTATCACTTTATTTGTTTGTGTACTTTTTATTGCAGCATTTATTTTGTTTTGGATACTTCTTATAGCAATTCTACAAATAACCAATGAGCCATACTTTCTGTTAAAATTTTATTTTTTTTTCCTATTTGTCATATACTGTTTGGTATTAAAAAAATATGATTTAAACAATGACATGTAATGTTTAGTCTGAAAACTGATATTCAAATGTTTAGTTGATGTTATGATGCTGTCATTGTACACATTTAATGGCCCAAACAAGTAGACATTGGAGTAGATTTTGGTCTAGATGTGATTTAAAATGGATACATTTTAAAAATGTATTACAACAGTTTTAATTTATGTAACATAATAGAAGTACTTGTCACTCAAAATTCTGTATTGTAATGATAGTGTATAATTATGAGTAAGCTTAATGTACTTTGGTTAAACAAAGTTTTAAATGCAACGTATTTTTACTAAACATGGACTTAAACACATGTGGTAAATTGATAGAGCCATTTTTTTATGCATGTGACATTAAATTTATTGAATATTCATATTCATGTCTTGTACATTTTCTAACTGTCAAACATGAAATGAAACATTAACCAGTGTTAGTATCTAAATACTGTTTAATACATTCTGTAATTAATACGTTGTTCTTGTAATGATTGTAGTTCAGGAAAGATGTCAGTCATTAAGAGTTTCCCAGAAAACTACTCACTCTTGTTTTGTTGGTAACTGTGAGTATTTCATGATTACTTTTTCCTGTAATTATTATTCTTAAAACATATGCTGATGCTACTCTAATGTAACATAATTCTTTATATGTGTGTGTGTTACCTGATACAACATAATCTAGAATAGTTATCATAAATACTTTGATGAAGTATTGAATGTAAAAGGAAAGCTGTAAGAAGAGTAATATAAAGAGATCAGTAGTTCCATCAAAATTTGACACAAGTTAGATGTCAGACCATTCATTGGGTTCTTTTAGAGTTAATAGATTAGTAATTTAGATGTTATCAATCTTTTACTGCATCAGATATACACACATGAAGGTTTAGCTGTACTGGGGTTGATGTAAAAGTTTAGCCTTTTTTTGTGTTGAGCTTTTGAAATTTTAAGCAAGTTTGTTTACAATATTTTAAATATTTTCATTTAAACAATCAATAAAGTAGTATAAATCTAATAACATAAGACTTTCTGTATTATGCAAACACAGAAGGTCAAGATATCCAAATCTATGAAAGAAATTTCTTTTCAAAAGTCAAAAAATTAAGGAATTGGTTCTTTACTCTTAACCAAACTACAATGGATTCTAAAACAGTTTATCATTTTTTCAATTTGTATTAAGTCATCTGTTAATTTTAAAAGGAAACTTATTGTTTGAAAATGTTGTAATTTAACAGAGCATAAAATTTAAGGAAAACTAAGGATTTTTAATCCAAATAGAATGTCCTATATACTAAACTTTAAAAAAAAACTCAAAGCTTGCCCCCTCATCACTCAAATATTTACTAAGCCTTCCTATAAATTCTTTTAAATTTTCTGCACCCACCACATCTGAAGGCAACACATTCCAAAGGCCAACCACGCTTACAGAGAAATAAAACTGAAGATGATTTCTACCCTGTCAAAATTTATATTTTTATTCCCAAATCCTACCATTCTCACCATTAAGTATGAAAAGAGATGATTAAATGACAGTTTTAATCCCCTTAACGAATCTTAAACACCTCAAATAGTGAATATCAATTAAAATCTAGATGAATAGCATGAATTTTAAATAGGTTTCTTGTTATATCTAATGCTGAAGAACGTATTCAAAACTGAATTACTCTGACTATTGTGTAGTTTATTCTTACTGTTAACTTCTTTTAAAAGCACTTTAACTTAAAATTAACTTGTTAAGAATAACCTCTGTATGTCCATTAAATCTTACATCAGTTACCTAGATTTGATTAAATATTAAGCAAAAGCTTTGACATATTTCTTTTCTAAAGAATAAAGCCTTAAAACTTCATTATGAGCTATTTAATTCATTAGAACTCCACTAAATAGACTCATGAAAGTCATCTATTGTATTCAGATATTGTCTACACTATAAATTTTCAGTGAACAGTGTTTTATTTTAAGATTATATGTTGATCAGTTTCTAAAACTTTTATTGGGCAACATCGTATTATTTATTATTCATAATGTGTCTCAAATATGTAGGGTATGGTTTATACAATTTATTGTCTTTATACCTTTACATGAACTAATCTATACGGCAAATCTTTACAAAGACGGTTACTTGCACCCTGAGGATTTAGATATACCTATACCTCATTACATTAACACTTGAACCTAAACTTTTGCCTACATTACTACTTTCAAAGAAGATACAATAACATTTTTAATTCACTTGTAATATGTAGTACAGTTTTTCATTTTTTAAATATCATGTATTTATCTGTAAATTATATGCTAAATTGGTTGCTTAATTTCATGCTATTAATGTAGTCATTCGTTTTAAACATTTAATAATAGTTTCACATCCAAAGTTTATAACATTAGTGCTTAATGTTTCTCCTAAGATATCATCCAGTAGATAGATGACTTGAAGGTTATGTTTAATAACCTGTGAATAAGATAATAGAGTTCCCACCCTCATATTAGTGATCAGTGATTGCTTCATACAGTAATTTTTTGAACCCAAAGGGCCACTTGGGATGATGTGAAGGTGTAGGAAATACATTATTAGTATTTATTCTGTTTAAAAGGATTTTTGTCAATATTCTGGGATTACTCATTTCAACTAAGTTCTGCCTGTTTTACTAATTTAGTATCTTAGTCTAGCTTTTAACAGCTTTTTTTGTTTCTTGTTTCTGTAAAATTTAATTTAAAGATCTCAATAAAGAAGAATTTTTTTTATATTAAACAGATTCTCAGTTTAAATTCGTAATGAAATAATTTGCTGAAGAAGTATATATTTCATTGTGATCTGTTATTCAGCAGATTATCAGATGATGCTCTAGTAGTGTTGTTTTTCTTTGAAGGGAAAAAGGTTCAACAATCTGTCATGAATCAAATGATATGAGTTTTTGAAACAAAATATTGTTGTAAGGAGTAATAAAAGATAGTTCACAACTGGAGCTTATAAGGATTCTGGGTACTTTGTAATATGAATAAAGATGATTTGTAAACTTTTGAAGAAAACATATATGTTGCCTCTTTCGTTCTATACATCATGTGATTTATTAGGAAATGCTATTTTTTTCTACATATGTATAGACAGAGATTACACCTGTCCTACAACTGGTGTTTGGCCGTACGTTTTCTCTATACAGTACTTCGTCCTTTTGAAGATGATCCTCCTCACCATCCTATATGCCACTTTCACGTAAGTTTTTATGTGTAAATTATTTTATAGTTTTTTTATGACTAATTCCTCTAACTTATCAACAATGCTAATGGTTTGTTATTAATGAACAAGACTCACTTTTTTGGTTGATTTTATAACTTCTAATTAAACCAAAACAATGGCAGTCACTTACTGTTTGATCAACTCGACAAAGAACCCGACTAGGAGGTCACATTCAGTGAGGATGTAGATAGTTTTTTATGACTAATTCCTCTAACTTATCAACAATGCTAATGGTTTGTTATTAATGAACAAGACTCACTTTTTGGTTGATTTTATAACTTCTAATTAAACTAAAACAATGGCAGTCACTTACTGTTTGATCAACTCGACAAAGAACCCAACTAGGAGATTACATTCAGTGAAGATGTAGATAGATTTTTTCTCTGTTCTTTCCCATTGTTGTAATATTAATGTGTATTTTTTTCTTCATAATTTAATATACTCATTTCACTCAAATGAATTGTTCACATTATAAAAAAAAAAGTCTGTTCTTACATTTCTTTTATTGACATGTGTACAGTAAAATAACGATCTCTGTTATTCATTTTATTAAGTGAAATATTTTCTATTAGTTATAGAAAATTAGGAGGACATATTAAATTAATATTATTGCTTCCTCCTGTTTCTAACTCTAAAATTATGAAGTAGTTTAACAAGAGAAGTTGAAGGTGAACTATGTTGGTATGCTACAAGCCTTTTATCCCATTTGGTTCTGGCCACTAACACAAATAACAAGCTTTTAAAGCTACATCATGGTGAAAGGGGATTGAATTTTGACTGGAACTTTTCTTTCCTTTGGATTTTAACATACTTTAACAATTTCTGTGTCTAGAATTCTATAAAATGTTGTTATCCACCCATTAAATTACGTCACTTTTGTTAAAATAAACTATACATGGATATTATTATTATATTCCCCACTAATACTAGAATATGTTTGATACATTTTCAGTGCTAGGGCATCTAAGATAGATGATAAAACCGTTTCTATCTGGAAATTCCAGCGGTATCAGTTAATTGTTGACTTTGCAAACCGTCTTCGACTTCCTGCCCCTTTGAATATTTTCAGTTATTTAATTGGAATTGTTAAGTGGATGTATGGACTATGCTGTATGAAATGTAGGCAGACCTCTAAAAAATATGTAAGAGTTTTGATACATAATAACCTAATACCAGTACTATAAGAACTTAATAAATAAGCAATTTATATGTTAAGATGTGAACAAATATTTGTTTAAATAGTTTGTAAAATAATTTGTTAGAGTTGATAAAAACTAGTTGACATTGTTCTTAAAATATATATTAAATGACGTCAAATTTCTTTGATCAAATTGATTCAGTTTTGATAGTTTATTAGTTTATAAAATGATGTGAGTGCATGTTAAAAACAATAACACATATCATGCAAATTAAGTAACCTGTTGTGGTCATTTGAACACTCATTCAATTGAACAATATGCTACTTGTATGCTTTTGCAATATATATATATATATATAATGCATAGGTCTGAAGTTTTAAAAGCTTACATCTTGTGTTATAAAGTTCGCAGCTGACATAGTTAGATAATAATAACCATTTAGACGTGCATCTTTATCCTTAGTAAATTGACACAGGAAGAATTTGTTATATTGTACGTAAAATTTATTATTTTGTTGATGTATCTATTGTTTTTCATATATAAGGCAAAGTATATTGACATACAGTTGATATATGAATATGATTTATATATATATATGGTTTCTAAATATCAAGGATGGAAGTTTATTCAATGAAAATGTGGCTGGATACTTTAACGAAGAAGACAATAACTACTGGAAACATTTAGTTCAAGAGTACTATAAACGTCAAGAAAAGAGTATAAAAGAGGATGACCTATCAAAGAAACAGCTTCAACTGTAAGAGGGTTACTTTAATATTCTAACAAACACTGAAGGTTAATCACACTTTATAAAAACAGTGTTTTAGATTTTATCTATCCCTTGGAACTACTACTACTTTCATTGTTAGTCTCGCACAACCCGAGAACCATGATTATGTATTATTACCCAATGATTAAATTTTTACTGTAACAAACTTTTGTGAAGAACGACAAGATCAATTTCAGGCCAAAAAATATCATGACAGTTGATCTACAAGTCTTATGTTTTGTACAAAGGGAAAAAAATATAAAAAGTGCTGCTACACATAAAGTGAGAAAAGGGAGCAAAGAAAAAGTACTGGTACACGTCTAGATACGTGTTTCTGGCTGTGATGAAAAGTACCAATGGAACACAGAAGTGCTGGTGCTGTGTACTGACAAGTACTGGCCCATTTCAAGCACTGATCGTAGTTGGACACATCAATGGAAAAAAAAAAATGTCTACTTTGGGAAGTTTGACAGCTTGTTAGAAGTCAAATGGGATTAATGATAGCAATTGAATATTGAATTGTCAACTGTCACGAATTTACCTTAACCAATTTTATGTGCTGAATCTATCATCAGTGCTGCCATCTGCTGCAACATGCCACTCTGTTAGCATAAACAAATTATTCAGCATATTGTGTGATTAATCTTTTGTATTACATAAAAACTGATAGAACCAACTCATTATATTTAAATGACTAAAAGTTTATTAAGTGGTGCCATAAATCCTATAAAATGTATGTTTTAGATTTAGCTCTTCTTAGATCAATCTCTTTTGATCTGCTGTGAAAATCTAAATGACGTATTCATGGCTTTAGATATTAGAAATGTTGCTCTTACTGGTAGTTTTTAGGTCCAAGTCGTCAAGTATATTTTTTCTTAGTTGAAAAATGTTTTGCTTTGATTTTTGTATGTTTGTGTATATATATTTTAGAAATGTGATGCCATTCAAAGTTTCTAAATTAGATCTAAAGTGTGAAAATAGTTTAAACTTTTAATTGCCATAGGTTGTAATGAAACACATGTGGAGGGTTTCCTGCTTGAGCTTGTAGCTCAGTTCCACTAGTTAAGTTGATTTATGGGATCAATCTTTGGTCAAGACAGATGCCTCAAGACCTTGATGGTTTATAAGATATAAAAAGTAATTTTTTTGAGGATATATATAGTAATATTGATAAGGGGTTTCAAAAGACAACTCGTTTACAACTCAAATATAAACCTTTTGTTAGAATAACAATTGTTACGGTATGAATTACACTCAGTACCAGAGCTCATCGGGCTGACTGGGATACAACAAACATAGTAGTGGTTGGAATGCTATTGTTAGAATACAAATTGTTATGTTGTAAATGTTTTTTTTTTAAGATGGCAAAGCATAATTATAATCAGTTTATAATTATAATTATAAACTTATTTTTTGAGGCAGTACTAGTACTTGAGCTGCTTTGTCGTTTTTATATTTACACATAGATTTTTTTCTTTTTTAAAAAATGAGTCCATTTCACCCAGCTGATTATCTCTAGTTGTTTTTGAGAATGTCACCCCTGATTATAATTATGTTTGTCATAAGACAATAAAAAATTAGGCTATTCATGTATCACAAATTGTCCTTTTAGTACTTTCAAATATAAAATAAATTTACTAATATGTTGTGAAAAATGACTTCAGTACACTTAAATCAATTATAATTTGGATAGAGCTTAATACCAGGTACAAATACAGTTTTGCTACTACAGCGTACCACTTTTTTTCATGAAGAATTAAGTAAGACATAAAGATTCAGATGACTTGAACTTATAAAATATTTTGATTAAGGTCTAAAAGTACATATATATTACAGTTAGTGTACAAAGATAATGTACATATTATTGTTTATACAAACAATTTTGTTGGGGTAATCTAATTACCTTTGTCTTAAATCTTGTTTCTGTAACTGCAGTTTGCCTTGTTTCTTCATTGCATTTGATTATGTTAAGTAGAGTGTCTCATAATGTAAATTTTATCTAATATGTGTAATAATATCAATGATCATTAAATCTGATACCGTGTGATGACCACTAGGATAATTAAATGAACTTTGAGGCATATTGATGTGTGAATAATTTGGAAAAGGTTATGTAATATGTGTGATCTTCTTTTAGTAGTTTTAATTTAAAGATCTGACTGTTGGGGTTTTAATCCTCAGAGATAATTATTAAAGCAGGAATAACATGCTGGATGTACCATGCTTGGGAAAGAAACTCCAGACATAGAAAACATACATTTTTGCTGTTGCTCTTGTCAAATCAAATATCATAGTATGTTTTGAAGTTGAAGTTTTTAATTTTTTTTTACTTGTTTAAACATTGTATTGATGGTAACTGAACTGTATAATTAAAAATTTGTTTATATATATAAAATAAAAGAAAATTTCTAAATTTACTTTGCATGTACAAATTACAATCATAACTTCTCGCAACTGACTATTCATCTAATTTTGTTCCCTGGTGGGCCAGCAGTAAGTCCATGGAGTTGCAATGCTAAAGTCTGGAGTTTAATTCTCTGCAGTGGACACAGCAGATAGTCCAATGTGGCTTAGCTATTAAAAAAAAAACAATAATCTGATTTTATCTATTATCTCATCAGCTTAACAACAATAGCTGAAGATATTGACTACGAGAAAAATATGATGATACAAGTCAAAGGTCTAATAAGAGAGCTAGACAGAATTATGAACCAGGCTAAAGGTTTTGTAGAAGACTTTAAAAAAATGTCACAAAAGGAAGGTAGGAAGTTATGGATTGTATAATATAATAATTAGTGTTCTTTCTTGTAATCAACTGAAACTCAGTAACATGAGGAAAAGATACAATAATCTAATTTTTACAACAATTAGTTTAAACTGCCCGTACTTTTAATCATGTAAATAACAAAATACTTTTTATATCTCGTATGTGTTCATTTGCTTAGCAAGTAGTGCTTCTATCTTTAAATAATTGTATATATGATTTTTATTTTCAAAGTTCTGCGAGTTCAAGTAAATTAATGATTACAATTATGAAAATCAACAATTTGAATAGAATAGGCACTTAAAAAATTTTTTTTTTAGAATACGTGCAGTTGTAAAGCAGATCAAATACTTGAAGGGATATATATAGATTACTTTTATAGAACCCGCTCTACCAGCTGGTATGATCCACATGCTTGCATTAACATTTTAGATTTTTAAGCCTAATCTTTTTGAAATGAGAATGCTAGCAGTCATTTTTGCATTGACAATTAAATTCGTTGATATTTATGTATCACACACATCTATAAAACAAACAGGATTGCCAAACAATGGGAAATCTGTTATTTTGTGAGATTGAAAAGTTCTTTTAATACTAAAACTAAGAAAATATTTAAATTAACCCATTCTTCATGTCATTTTTGATATGCTATAAATAGAAGAATTTTATTGACAGAGTTTAGCCTGTAGCAATTGTATTCTTGAATATTTTACAAGATAGTGGCAAAAGTTTAAAAACTTAATATAGAAGAAATATGTGCCTGCTTATGTAAGTTTATAATCTTTTAGCTATTTCACAGAAGTATTTAATTGGTTTTTCAACATTTATCAGTTCCTTAAAAACGTACTAGTTGTTCATTTTCTGATTAGCATTCTTGATTAAGGATGGTTATGTCTAAGCCATTTATGTGATTAGCCCATGTTTAACATAAGGTTTCATTCACATTGAAAATACCAATCCTTAGCAATGAAGAAACGACTGTATCTTTTTCAAAACTATTTTTTATTTTGTCTTAAATTTGTAGAGTATAAAAATGAAAAGAATTACGACTTTATTAATGAGCATTAATGTTTAGGCAGTGACACACCGTTACTAAAAAGTGTGTACATTTGACACGTGATAGAAAGTAGTTTAAGATAATTATTAGGATAAAACTAAAATTGGTAATCAGCAAGTGTTTTATCTGTAACATAGAACTCTCTTTTTATGTGATCTGGCATGGCCTGATGGCTAGGGCACTTGAATTGGTCATGGGTTCAAATTCCATCATCAAACATGCTTGCCTGTTAGCTGTGGAGACATTATAATGTGACAGTTAATCTCACTATTCATTGGTAAAGAGTAACTCAAGAGTTGGTGGTTGGTAGGGTTAACTTCCATTTAGTCTATCACTTCTAAATTAGGGATGGCTAACCCAAATAGCCATCAAGTAGCATTTTACAAAATTCAACAAACACACACACACAAACAAATCCTTTTCATACTTATGATGACTCCAATTGTGTATTGTGATTGTTTCTTTTCTTATTATCATATCTCTTTCTGTAAATATATATTTCCAGATAGCATCAAAAATGTCTATGCTATCAGAAAGTATTGGATAATGATAAAAAGGTGTTACATATAGCTTTTGCTAATATGGTGTTTGGTTTGCTATATATCAGGAACTTCACTAGTATTGCGATTATTTTCAAAATATAAATTTTAATCTGTTTTATTCTATTACTAGTTTCTGTGCATCAAATCTTCCTTCATACTCTTGCTCGAAAAAGTCCTTACCCAGGAACTATGGTTCATCGATTTCCAGTTCCAGATAAATATGTACCATGGGAAGTTTTGTGGGTGGAATATGAGCCTGTTATTTACACACGCCATTATTCTGAATTTCCAGTTTCTCTTCAGCCTTTTATTGATGAAGATATACTGTAGTAAGTTTCTTTCTATCAAAGATGTTCCATTTCTTAAATTACACATCAGAAAGTGAAATATTATATTGATTTAATGAAATTTCTGACCAACATTTCTCATTTATATCTTGATAAAGTTGAGAAACACAGCACATCTCATATTTTGAAAGTAATTTGATGTAACTAAGGCTTCAGAATTAATTTAAAAAAAGTATTTTTATATATAGTGTATGGACAATAAAGAAGTAGATGTGATGTCTTAACAGACAGACAGAGTAACAGTTTTCCACTAAAACAATAGGTTTTAGATGCACTATTTAAAAATAGTTTAATGCTGGTTATTGTTTGTAAAATTATAATATTGAAATCCTTGCATTTTTTCAATACTTATGAATGATCTAGATAGAATTCTAAATTAGTCTTAATATAATATGAATGTTTTTCAAAGTAAGAAGACATTCTTTTAATAAATATTTTATATATTTCCTATGAAAAATGTACAGAGCCCATTAAGTACTTTTACACAGACAGTAGTCTGGTCTGTTAAAAGTGGCTCAGGATCAACATGCAGGTTCAGATACAACTGTTCAACATGTTTTCCAAATGAAAAGCCATGCAAAAACATACATTTGTTTGTGAGTGTATAAAATGAGTCTGTCGACAGTAATACTTAGAAAGTCTGACTGTGTTCTTAGATCTTATACAGGGCAGGACAGAAGTGACTATACTATTGTTTCATCTATAACAAAGTTTAATTTCTAAATATTACTTTGAAAGCCTTGCATGGCCTGGTGGTTAAGACGCTCGACTTACAATCTGAGAGTCACAGATTTTGAATCCAATCCCTGTACATGCTCACCCTTTCAGCCTTAGGGACGTTATAATGTGATGATCAGTCCTGCTATTTGTTAGTAAAAATTAGTCCAAGAGTTGTTGGTGGGTGGCATAAACTAGTTGCCTTTCCCTTTGTCTATCGCTTCAAAATTTGGGATGGCTAATGCAGATAGCTCTCCAGTAGCTTTACACAGAAGTTAAAACAAACAAACAATATTTAAATTGATTTCAGTTGTCTTTGGAATATTTTCTATAGTATCAACTCCATATTATCAGCTTTATAGTAACTTTTGCTCCACCTTGTATATTAATGTAAATTTTGTTTTCTAAAGCCTTTTAAGATGTTTTATACATCAAACAAAGATATGGTTCTTATGTATTTCTTCTTTTGTTTTTAAAAAGACTTTTATGGTAGAATGAAATGAAGCTTTCTCCATCTGATCCTTTTTTTTTTTTTTTTGTTATTAAGCACAAAGCTACACAATGTGCTATCTGTGCTGTGTCTACCATGGGTGTCAAAACCAAATATTTAGCACTATACCTCTGTGCCACTGGGGGCAATCTGGTACTTACATGTATTCATGTTATAAAATTGATTATTGGATGCTGTTAATATAATATTTTTAGCACTGGTCTCAATCATTCTGCTTTTCAACTTCAAATATTAGAGAAAACATGCATTGTAAATAACTTCACCAATTAGTTTTGTGTTCTGGTATTATGTATACATATACTTTAACAAACTTTTCTGAATAAGAGAGACTTCATGAGTATATGTTTAAATAGTTTACATATAAACCTAAGATATTCAACTGGAGTTAATCAAAAACAGAAGTCTAAATTTTATAAGATAGTCTAAAGTATGATCAAAGTTACATGCGTTTTCTCCATCTCTTTCAAACATATGTTGTAGTCTAATCAAGACCAAAGGTACCATTCCTGTTTCTAAATGGAATTCTCTATCGACTACTGTAGAAGGGTTTCTTGTTGATAGACAGTCTTGGATTCTAAATTATGACAAGACAACATTGGAGTATAAGTTAGATGAGGAGGGACTTCCTGTGTGAGTATGAAATTTTGGTGTAAGATTAATTGAACATAGTTTTTGCTTACTAGTAGAATTACACGTGAAATGTATATACATAAGTAAAGTTGACACCGTAGAGTATATGTATGGTATGAAAATGCTAAATGTAGGTTTAGCTTCTTAGTAGAATGTAGACATGAAAATGTACTGTATCTAAGTGTAGCTTCCTGATAGAATGTAGACATGAAAATGTACTATATCTAAGTTTAGCTTCCTGATACAATAAACATGAAAATATACTAATATACAAGTTTAGCTTCCTGATAGAATGTAGACATGAAAATATACTATATACAAGTTTAGCTTCCTGATAGAATGTAGACATGAAAATGTATTATATCTAAGTGTAGCTTCCTGATAGAATGTAGACATGAAAATATACTATATACAAGTTTAGCTTCCTGATAGAATGTAGACATGAAAATGTATTATATCTAAGTGTAGCTTTCTGATAAAATGTAGACATGAAAATGTACTATATCTAAGTGTAACTTTCTGATAAAATGTAGACATGAAAATATACTATATACAAGTTTATTTTCCTGATAGAATGTAGACATGAAAATATACTATATACAAGTTTAGTTTTCTGATAAAATGTAGACATGAAAATATACTATATACAAGTTTAGCTTCCTAATAGAATGTAGACATGAAAATATACTATATACAAGTTTAGTTTTCTGATAGAATGTAGACATGAAAATATACTATATACAAGTTTAGTTTTCTGATAGAATGTAGACATGAAAATACACTATATACAAGTTTAGCTTCCTTGTAGATTATATGAGATACTGTACCAGATGCAGGACTAGCTACATAGAAGAATGTAGACATAAAAATAAGCTAAATGTAAATTTATTAGTCTTACAAGTGTTACCTTGAATAGGTAGAAAATATAAGTTTAGCTGCTTAGTTTATCCATTATTCCTCACAATCTTTACATGTATAATATTGTATATCCTAGATCACTGTTCTAGCTGGTATTAAAAATAGCGTTAAATGTTATGTTTATTATTTTTGTTTATGTGCATTGTAGAAATCCATTTGGAAGAACTGGACTGCAAGGGAAAGGAACCTTGCCACGCTGGGGACCAAACCATTATATATTTGTTGTTATAACTAGGTAGGTAATTTCTTATTTCCCTTGAGGCCTGACATGACCTGGTGGTTAGGGCATTCCACTCTCAACCTGAGTGTTGAGAGTTTGAATCCCTGTCATACCGAACAAGCTTGCCCTTTCAGCTGTGGGAGCATTATAATGTGACCGTCACTCCTACTGTCCATTGGTAAAAGATTAGCCCAAGAGTTGGTGGTGATGACTAGCTGCCTTCCATCTAGTCTATCAGTACTAAATCACTGCAGGTAGCCCTCATGTACCTTTGCATGAAATTCAAACCAAAGCATACTTATTTACGTTGAAAAAAATGTTTGTTAGCTGGATATAGAGGTAGTTTTCCAAGCCAGGAATAAACTACACAACTCTTGTTTGTTTTAAAGATTTTAGTCTCACTGTAGAGACTACACACTAATTGAATTCTATTATCACTCTGATATTCATTTCTTCTCTAAGAAACCAAATGCTCAATCCCCACCCACAAAAAAATAAATAAAAAATTTCAGAATAAAAATAGTTTTCTTAATCGTTTGTGCTAGCAGTATTACATCATGTAAATATAAGTAAACTTGTTAAGTGTGGGTTATTGCTCTCACTGTTCACATCTTCAAACTAAATATGACAATAACTTCATTCATTAAATTTAGAAATCTTTCAAATGTAATTGATGTTGTTATGCTTGCTATTAAACCTACACTAAGGTTTGTATGGTCATTGACATTCCATTACATTCAATTGAAAAACACTTTAAAATAGTCTCATCTTTAATTATTTTCAACATGTATACTACCTATGGATTATATCTTAGTTAGACTACTTACATTTTACACTCTTTCAGAGCCTGTAACAACATCTTTATATGACCTAACCAACCACATTATATCTTTTTGCTGATGACATCATAGGTTCAAAAGGTTTTTGACTTTTATCTTATTTTGGCAAAAGCAAGGTTTAATTGTAGTTTCATTAAGTTTATGGCTATTTTGATTCTCATCTGATTACTTCACTTCAAGTCAGCAAACACGATGCTTTGAAATTTCACCTTGATATTTTGGTTGAAATTTGTTTGTGTGTAGATAAACACAAAGCTACACATTGGGCTATCTGTGCTCTGCTTGCCACGGGTATTGAAACCTGGTTTATAATGTTGTAAGTCCGAAAACATACCGCTGTGCCACTGGGAGCTTCGGTTGAGAATGGAATAGTAACTTGGCTTATCCATTACTATAACATACAATGTTGTATCATATGTAAATAAATGTGATAACACTCATTTAAACCTTATGTTTACAGGGGTGAAATGAGTTTGGAATGGGTAGGAATATGAAAGTTTATTGTGTAACTTTTGATGGGGGCCTTGAGTATCTATGGAAACCCACTTTAATGACACTGTAATATTTACGTTAGTTTTGAAAAAATGTTTTAGGATTTTTTCAATATTTCATTAGTTCTTCCACTTACTGTTTTATTTTTTCTTCAATCCCCCAACACTAGCAACCATTTATAAACTTCCTAAAACATTTTTTCAATTATTTCATTAGTTCTTCCACTTACTGTTTTATTTTTTCTTCAATCCCCCAACACTAGCAACCATTTATAAACTTGTTTTAGGAAGTTTATAAATGGTTGCTAGTGTTGGGGGATTGAAGAAAAAATAAAACAGTAAGTGGAAGAACTAATGAAATAATTGAAAAAATGTTTTAGGAAGTTTATAAATGGTTGCTAGTGTTGGGGGATTGAAGAAAAAATAAAACAGTAAGTGGAAGAACTAATGAAATGATTGAAAAAATATATTTATATTACAAAACAATTTTGTGTAACCCTGAATGAAATGTGAATAAAGATAAGATAGCAGTGTATAACAGAATAAAAAAAGTAGAGAATTAAAATGCCAGTAAATAATAATAATATTATAGAGAAAAGTTAGATAAGAGTGGTTGTTTGTAGAACACAAGTAAAATAAAGAAATAAAGCTAACTTCTTTTCTAACAGAAAATACAAAAAAAGTTGATTATTTTGTGATACCGGAATCGAGATTAACCCTTGGTTTTTGTGTACTGTTCAGAGCAGCAATACAATAGACTTCTTTCATAGCTTTTTTAGTCTTGTTTAAAATTAAATCTGTGAAGTTTGTATACTTATAAAAATCATGTCATTGATGGAATTGCTAAGCTGGTTAAAATTATGGCAAACAGATAGTTTTTAGTTTTTGTAGAAGATTTTTGAAAAATATTTTCCAAGTGTCATTTGTGTTGGTTGTCACAAAGTATTATGCTCTATTATAAATTAAATTAAGGCTTTTGTATTGTTTGGGCATGTTTGTTGGAGCCCAATAATGTGAGTTATTACAAAGGTAGATAGTCATTCCGTGGCAAGATGCAGTTAACTTTGGCATAAACCAAAATATTAGTTGTTCTTCAATCAGAATTACAAGACTAACTAATCAGTTTTTCATCTTGTCTCTTAGAACTTTTAGAGAGCTGCAACAGAAATTAAACCTCAAATTACTGACATTTTTACACCATGTTCATTACAAATGCAGTCTGCATAATGGATCATATTGAGCAATTTTATAAACAGTTGAAAAAAAAAAAGGTATAAGTTATTCATTTTTAATGTAAGATACATGGAAAACTCCAGCAGTAATTAGTGAGCTTGATTGCAATATTGATGGTGTTTTTGTTTACATTTTTCTTTGGCTCATATGCTATTAAGAATCTTTTAATATCCAGTGGGAATCCATAACATTAATTCTAGGGTTAATATGAGAGTATTAATTTTCTTTTACATTATATAATACTGCTTAAATGAGCTATGATTTGTTTTATATTATGTATATCTTCCTATTGAAGTACTTATATTTTTTAAATGCACTCCTCAGAATGCAATTCAACTTTTAAATGGTAACTCATATTTAGAGTTATTTCTTTGATTGACATACAGTACATTTACAGAAACGTTTCTTAGAAACTTTTCTCTTTTTGTAAACAATATTCTGAAAGATTTGAAATGCATTGATACCAGTCATTATTTTTCTCTCTCAATTGACTTGGATTAATGACATTTTTGTAAATTCATTTCTGAGCTATGATTTTTAGTCTGAATAGTATCATATTTTTAATATTATGCAAATTATTATGACTGAATGATTTCCGATATCAATTTCATTATATGTTTTGAGATTGTATCCTATTTTTTCAGATGGCAAAAAAACAAACTGGTTAGAGAAGAAGACAAAGGTTTAGAGTTTATTGCTTTTACAGAAGACGACCTACATGAGATTTCTTTGCCAGGGGTAAGACAAGTTAGATTTTATTTTTGACATCTACATTTTTCAGTTGGCATCAATTTTCCTAATGGTTTAGAAAAAATAAAAAAGAAGATCATTTAAGTAATCATACAACAAAGATGGCCAACTTAGTTAGAGTGTGAGTTTAGTTCAACAACAGGATATTTGTTCTACATGCTTTTGATAAGCATTAAAATTAACAGCTGAGTCGTAACTAGAAAATATAAGTGCCCACAGCTGGTCACCGTATTTGTGCCCCTTTTGTGAATGCCTTGGCAAGCTATTTCAGTCATTTTGTGCCTGGGGCAGCTGCTCTACTAATCCCATTTTAGTTATATCTCTCTGATGAACACGTAGTTAGAAAGGATTTAAAATTGAAAACAGATATTAATATCTTTAATGTTATTAGAAAGTACTGAATGAAAGTTGGTACATTTCCCTTTTTCATTAAGGTTAAGCTGTACCTTTTTTTTATAGACATTACAGTGTACAGTATTTTAATTATTAACAGACACTGGAGATATAATACAAACTGATGTGGTGAAAATAATACTGATTTTGTATTGTATGTGATTGGTTTTTATATCATGTTTGAAATAAAAAATATTTGGTAGCATTTAATAAACAGAGGTTTTATTCGGCATAGTAGAAAGAATATTTTACAATATTTTCAAACCTTTTTAGTTATTGTAAAGTGAAAAAGCAAATTTTTTACTATTCATTAAACATAGTTTTTTTTCGTTTGTATGGCTGTATGGCATACCATAGGGTCTTGTAAGTGGAGAAAACAAATACAATGGTATTTGTGGACTCTTTAAGACTGAAGCTGAAGGTAGTTTTCAATGGCAAAATGATGAAGATATGATACAGGTAAGAGAGCCAGGTTTAGATAAAGATACAGCATCACAAATAATAATGAACTTAAGAAGTGACGCACTTAATAGGTTATAAAATTAAATAGAGAGAAGCTAACTAGAATAAAGTTATTAGAATACAATATAAAAAACAAGATGAAAGAAATTATTTTAAAAAATGTAGGAAGTTAATACAGTGAATTAAATAAGTGGTTATAATTATTAGTACGTTTCTGAACAGAGATGCTGGAATACACTCTTAGTATGTTGCTGAACAGAGATGCTGGAATACACCATTAGTATGTTTCTGAACAGATTTAAACACTTGCATTATACACTATTAGTATGTTTCTGAACGGATTTAAACACTTGCATTATACACTATTAGTATGTTTCTGAACAGATTTAAACACTTGCGTTATACACTATTAGTATATTTCATTAGTATAACACAAGTGTTATACACCAGCTTCATATCTTTTATAGATTAAGAGAAATAAGCATTCAAAGAGTAGTAAAAAATATTGGTCTTTATTTTATGTTCTCTTATACCCTTTTCCCGTTATCACAGTCAGAATACTAAAATAAAGTAATGCAGTGTGATCAGGTTTTAGTATAGAATACACACATGTAGTAAAATAATCTGACAATTTTGTATGAAGAAATTTAACATTATTAAACATAGAATAAAATGTTTACCTCATAAGATGTATAAATGAATGAAAACTTAGTTTCCATGTGCAAAATATCTAGATATGTAAACTACTGTGTCACGAACTGCAAGCTTCACATCACCTATAAAGTAATAGAAGTGAAAATAAATTAGTGGTATGTGGTGAAAACATCTTAAAAGTACAAAAACAGCTATGTTAGAATAAAAGGGTCAGGCCTTTTTTATAACTTTCTTTTTTCTTAACTGTTTATTTACAGATGAATTTTACAGTCGCAGTTCTTAAAGTTGTAGTAAATCTCTCCCTGGAACCATATACAGCCCTTTATTTTTTTATTTGCTTTGTCCTAATATTTTAAATATTAATCCTTGCTCTTTAAAACTTATAACTTTATTCATTAGACCAATCTTTCATAAAGAAACACCACTAACCTTACTTAATATTAAAACACTGTTTCCTGTTTAATATCTTAATTTCCAGTGATCACACAGTTTCTCTATGAAACCCAAACTTTCTGGTGTAATTTGTCTCTAAATGAGTTTCTGTTTAGTTTATTTTCACCTCTTTTGAGTTGATAAAATATAAAAATATCATGCTATTAATGTTAAAAGTAGTCTGTTAGGTGAATATTCTGATTTTTGTAAATCTGACTAATGTGTCATGTGGTCAGTTGGAACAACGTGTAGCCACGAAATTGGAATTACAAGACTTTTTTCCAGCCTATTCTGGCATAAGCAGAGCAGGAAAAAAACACCTTCTTGACTTCTACAATTTGTATTCACTAGAACAATGTAAATCATAGCTGGATTCTTAATGCTGTAATGTTATTAAATTGACCACTAGAAGACAGTAAAAAGCACTAATTTGTTCATTTTTCTTGATTTTTCTCTCTCTCTTCTTCCTGAAATTTAGTATACTGTTGAAAAGATTAGGACAATTTACCAATAATATATGTACATAAATAACAAAGTGCACAAATAATTGAACTATGTATATCTTTTGGTTTGTTAAAACTATTAAAAACTGACATAGGAATGCAGTGTGCTACACAAACAAATATGCATGATTTTTGACTTGCAACATTTAGGAAACACTTTTTCTTACATCAATTTCAGTGAAGAGCTGTGTAATAGTTTTTTTCTATGTGTTGTAAACCTGTTTTCATTTTTTTAATGTCTCAAACTATTTCAAATTGAAAGCTTTCACTCACACACACATGTACAGATATATAGTTTAAACTGCATGTTATATAGACAAACATAAACATCAGATTTGTATAAATTTTTTATAGTTTTTCAAGAGTTGTGGAGTAACCTCACAAAACTTAGATAGTCAGACAGAAACTCGGGCAGATGTAATATGTGATGTTATACATCGTGGATATATGGATGATCCATGGAACACTGACCAGGCATGGCGAGAAGCTGAAATGTGGAACATTCATTTCCAAAATGAAGAACACATCACTGAGAAATTGCCGGTCGGTAATACGTTTTTCAGTTTTTATTTTTTATGGATAGGCATGAATTTGAAATTTCCTGTCATTAAAACCTATTATTATTCTTCCAGTATTATAAGACCTTATTTCAAAGTGCTGCCATCTATTGAGGTAAAACTGAGTTAACTGTATAGGAATGGGATATGTTCACTTTATAATAAGAGGCTCAAAAAGATGTTTATCATGAAATAGTACTGAATTTTTGAGTTTGTAAGAATGAAATAAAGAGACTGGACACAATATAAAATTCACAAACACAGTAATTGTACTTGCTTTATGGACATGAGACAATCACTTATACTGGATTAGGTATCTTCAACTTATCTTGTCAAAATCATCTACCAGACTTTGCTGGTAACATCGGATTTACCCAGAGCGATATAACTAATCAAATAACCTTGCGATACCCTCTGAACTACCACTGAAGCACATTGTTGTCTATGTTCTTTCATGACATGCAGCATTGCAGTCATGACCATTGATGGGAAAAACAGGTATTATCTTCAGAGAATTAAGACGGAACAAAGGGAGCTATAACAACATCAAATTAAGGACTTTCTTCACTGTGAAAACTGGACATTCTCGAAAGTAACTATATCAATAAAAACATATGGTATATTTAGATACCACAATACTAAACTGTATTTTTATATGTCATATATTAGGTCTACAACCAGTTACTAATTAAGTTTTTAGAGTAGTGTACTTATTAGGCTTTAAGAGGGCCCCCACTAATATCAGATTTCACCATAGTTACCATGGCGATAGCCTGAACTAGGTGTGGCCTAAATTTCACAGGCTGCCAGAAGTTTTAATTGCAGCCTATTTGTCAAGGAAATGTTGGTTACAAATGGTACTATAAGTTCATTTAAAAGATACTCAAGTGAAATCTTGTGATTATGCTGGTTATTCTTATTCTTTTCAAACCAGTTTTGACCAATACAAACAAGGTGAATTGTTGCATTATTGCCTTGGGTTAGTTTTTGTTCATTGTGATTCAAATGCAGCGTTTGTGGGGTGGACATGATTTATAATGAGGTTCAGGTACTTTCTGGATTTACCTGGCTTTTCAAGAGAATCAAATGGTCAAGTTGTTTAGAATTTCCATGCAAAGCTACATCAGAGTTATCTGTGTATTAACGTTCCTTTCATACAAAGCTACAAAAGAGCTACCTACACTTTCTGTCCCTAATTTGGACTGATAGACTACAGGGAAGGCATCAATTGCCCAGTTCTTGGGCTACTTTTGTCTGACCGATTGGAGTGGAGCACATTTGTGTGACAATGGAATGTAAGCCGCAAATCCTAGGATGCAAAGACCAGGTGTACTAACTACTAGACCAAGCCCTGTCAGAAGAACATTCCCCACTCCATTACACCATCTCCAGCAGCTTATGCAGACATAACAACCCAACTAGTCACATAGCTCAGATGGTTTTCTACATATTCTTTTTGTTAGTAAATAACATGATGAAGTAAGACTTATTAGACCACACACTCACATCTAATAAATCAGTATTTATAATTTTAAATTTTTTTGTTTACCTCTCAGACAAAAAGTTTTAGATTTTTTTTTCATATACCATGTAACCAGTTTTTAAATGTTTTTTTGCCTGGAATGGTTGGAAACCTGACCACTGTTAATGAATCAGTTATTTGGGGCACAGTTTGATATATATTGCATTTTATATTTTGAATGTTCTATGATTACCTTTCTTAATCAGTCACTTATGGTTAGTGGCCACAAATTTTCCTAGTGACAGACAATTTTATTCCAAGCTGCTATTGTTGATAGACTCTGATGGTACATATTTCAGCAGCTAGTCAATAAATGGTTTTTGATAATAACACTTCTGCTATATGAGCACCAATTTTCACACTTGTTGGAAAAACACAAATCTTTGCTCTTACCCACAATACGGCTGCACTTGTACGACTCAAGAAGTCTTTGACACATACACAAGTAAATGAAGTGTGTTACAAATGTTTGTGGTGAGTAACCAGGTTAATGATCAGTCCATAACAATGTCTTTGATCTGTCAAACATTAGAATACCAAAATGAAAAAACAAATGTGGTTTACATATTCTTTCAGTGAATATGTATTTTGAGACAATACACATTTATTTTCTATATTTTTTAGATGAACTTGAACTGGATACTAATCACTGATGATATTTTCTTAAAACTGCCTGACGGTGAAGCTATGCTTCTTCACAAGATAACAGAAAATTTCCGACGAATTAGACATTGAGTCAATAGCTCATTGATTATCTGTCACGCTCGAGTCTCAATTTGTTTTCGACAAGAGTTATTTTTCCACGTTTTTTTTTTTTTTTTATGGTACAAAATTGTATTGTTTAGAAAACCATCAAAACAAAGATTTGTAGCCCATTGATAGAATATTTGTTACTTATTTCCTTGAAAGGTATAATTTAAAATACAAGTTTCTGGTTATTTTTCATTTGATTTTTGTCTTTCAAAGTTACAAAAATAATTAATATACTTGTGATTTTATTTACGTGTATGTTATGAATGATTGTACTAGAATTTTAAACCATTCCACTTTAGAAAACTAATATAACTTTATTACTGTTGTTTGTTTGCTTATACATACATGGGAATGATTCAAATGCTATCAGTGTTGATATTTTGAAAAAAACAAACATGGTCCTTAAGATTAAAAGTAAAAACAACAACAACAAAATGAATTCTGAAAAGACAGGGTTATTATGCAGATTATCTAGAAACTATCCAAAGATATTATAGGTATCTGTGAGTGACAAAGAAATGATGATTACACCATAATTGGGCCAGAGGGGAGAAGAACCTTATAGATACTCTTTCTTAAATATATATATATTTTTTACACATTTTTTGTACTCTGACACAACTTATAACTACTAACTTTAATATTTTTTATAATAATAACATTTGAACAGGCTTTATAAAAATGACTTTGGGTGAACCCTCCCCAATTAATTTTGTTAAATATCTTTTAAAAGATTTTTCTTGTGTAGAAAAGTTAAGCTAATTACTCATTATTTTCCCTATAGAAGTACTGAAATGATAGATTGCAACTAAATACTGCATGTACGCTGTATTTAGCCTCACATTTCACGTTAGTTCTAGTTATGTTTACCCTAATTATCATTTTCTTGTGACTAATTAATATCTAGACTTAACAAAAAATTAACATGGATTTTAAGTAATGTTTCCTTCCGATATTTATCAGGTTTGAGCTACTAGATTTATGGCTGCGTTATTCGTGTATGTTGGACGTACTATATATTTACTGATATTTTTAAGAGCTTTGTAACCCGAAGAAGAAATGAGAATCCAACAACACCCAAAAAGTACCAAGTAAACATAATGCTGGTTATTCTGTATAAACATACTCTTATTAATATGATGCCCTGTCTCACTTGAAGAAAATATAAACAAGTTACAGTATTCACTTCAACAGATTTATGCCGAGCTTTTAGTGTTTCAAACCAAAGTTTATATATATAAATAAGAGGAAAATATGTCCAAAGCCCGTATTTCATCATTTGTCGTGTATAAATCACAAATGATTAGGGAACTCCATCTCCTAGGTGAGTTGATCACAGAATTTTTCTTTAAACGTCTGTTACCTATCTTTTTAACTACTGTGATAAAGTGTAAATGCTCATTTATAAGTGACAATTACCTGTATTAAATTGCAAATGTCAGTTTTGTTTAAAAAAATCAAATTGATACTGTTATTATACACGTAGTCACATCAATATGGTTAATATTAGAAACCTAAATATACATTACATATGTTTAACTTGTATTTCGCTCACATGCACCTTAATGTATTTTGTAATAGTCATTTAATAAAAAAATGCATATTACTCCTGTATGTGTAAATGTCAAAAACTACCTTACCAATAATGGTTGGAGACAGCATGAATGGGTAATGAAGAAAAACTTTAATATAAGTTTAATACAACTGCAAATGTACAACGTTTCAACAAGGTTTTGTCATCATCAAAACCTTGTTGAAACGTTTCGTACATTTGCTGTTATGTTAAATTTATATTAAGGTTTTTTTTCTTCATTACCCATTCAAGCCATCTCCTACCATTATTAGTCTCAAAGTGGGTTCCTCGTCATGGAATTTGGATACCTTACCAATAATTGTTTAAGTAGTGAGAAGAAGTGTATAGAGATTAATACAGGATGTTGAAACAATCCAGTAAACACTTCTTAATAGATCTGTAAGCAGTGGGTTTTATCACAGCAATAGCTAATTTCACAACTAGTATAATCATATATAGTCTGTTAAATAAGTTGCTTGTGTGTGTGTTTCATATTGGTTCTGATCTGCTAATCATCTATGGTTGTCTTAGTAATCAGCCATCCAGATTAATACTTTCAGTGGAAAAATGAAAGCCATGGTTGTATAAGAAACTGCTCCAACTGGAAAAGTCACAACAATAAATCTGAAGTTAACTGGACAATCTATGTATACCAACATCTGTTTTTATGAAAAAGATAGCCGTATGAATCATAGCAAACCTATTAGACCAGAAACTTGTGAAATCCCACCAGAGCAGCGTCAGTGTGTTTAGAGTTGGTCTCAGAAACCAACATCAGTGTACAGTAAAGAACTTGTGGAAGGTTTGTTGAAATATGTAGTCTAAAACTGACCTTGTCATCCTTTTACTATAGAAAATTGCAGTGTAATATTTAATCATGGCCATCGTATAGGCTAGTTAATACCAGAGAAACATCATCCTTATAAAGCAAAATCAACCATTAAGTTTTTAGTTCCAGAAATAGTTTTACAAAAACTAACAGCATAGTTCAAGTTTTTGAATATTTTATTAAATAAAGACAAATTTACAATAAAACATTTAATATCATCATCTTTCGAATAATGTTTTCAACTGATTAAGTCAAAATTAATTGGATAAAGGTTTCTAGAACTAAACACGATAGTCTGATGAAAGCTACTGTTAGTGTATATTTACATATTCATATTGTTTCAGCAATAAATAAAAGCAACTCACAAATTCTACATTAACTTCTTAAATTCAACAGCAATCTGTATGGGAGCTGACTTTTAACAATTGATTTACAAAATAAGAAATATGAGTATCTTATTTGGCTTATAAACAAGGAGTTGTAAGAAACTGAAACACAGAATTATAACAAGTTTCTGTATGAAACAAATCAGGCCCTACGAAAATGAGGTAAAAAATACAAGTTCCCCGAAACAGGGGGTAAGGCATAAGAATCTAATAATAAGTACTACTATCTTATATTTTTATCTTTTGAAAGTTTGTTAGAAGAGACAAAATCTTAAATGTGAAGAACTAAATCATTTTTATGTTTTTTATAAAATTTGATAAGTTTTGCCATAAAATATTTCACCAAGTTTATACACTGTGTAAATATAATAACACTTTTAATAAGAATTACTGAATAATTCAACTTACTGACTTGATCAAAATGTAAACTTTCCTTCTAAACAAATAGAACATTTCATTAAAAAATTTTAAGAAATTCATACCGAGATTATAAAACCTTTGAAAAACTATAAAAACAATTTTTTTTTGCCACAATTAGTTTTAGAATTAAACACAGCTTTCCTTCTGTTCTAGATTTAGGCTTAGATTAGTAATATAATACAAACTATTTCCGTGTAGAAAAAAAAGTTCTAATTAATAAATATTAAGATAATCATTACAACACCTGGTATATTAAACTTGGAAAAATTTTTTGAACCCAAAATTACCTTAAATATATTTAAAAGATTATTGAACACAGTGTGTCAAAACTTTATCTGGAAGACTGGCATAAGAATTAAAGAAAGTGATATGATAATAAATATAAAACAATTTACTTATGTATATATATATATATTTAGTTTTTTTGATATAATACTGTATTCTTTCTGTGTTCAGAACAGATAACTAAACACACATTCTGGTGAATTTTCAGCCACTAATAACACATCTGTTAAGGTTATTAAACAGCCTCACAAATTTCAATCCATGAAATTTTTAAGTTTCAACAAATATTCAAAAGATCTAAATTAATACAGATTCTGCAAGTCAAGGTGATCTTCGTCATAGTTACAACATGACACAAAGAACTATTTACCTGATTCAAGTACAAAATCACCAAATGATTGTATGTTAAGCGTCACAGTGTTACAATTGTGTTTTAGTTTTACAGTTAATTTTTATTTTAGTATTTTATAAACACACTGGGGGAAGATATGTTATTGTATCAGTTGCTATTATACATTTCAAGCATTTTAAATAAATCTTATGAGGTTGAAAGTATATTAAATTTGATTTGACTGTAGCTAAAGAATGATTCTTCCTTGTTATTAAACATGTATAATAAAATTTGTATTTTGACCATTGCTGTACACAGACAGCTAACAAAGTACTCGTGAAATTTATGAACTGGGCTACAAGAACCTCGGTGGTGCTACAGTAACAACCTCTGTAACAATATTGTTTAATTCTTCTTTAAAGTAATCAAGCTTAGAGTTATAAAAAATTAAATCTGGAGTAAAAAAGTACATGTTAAACACATTAAAAATAACTTCCAACGAATGTAATGACTACCCTTATTAAATCACTATAAACAACACCTAGCTTTCTATGCAAGATACTTAAGAATAACACCATTTTAAGAAGTATTAACCTTCTTTAAATAACATTCATGTTATTCAGCACGAAGATAAGGTGTGATTTTTACAACAAAGTTAAGTCAAATACAAGGTATAATACATTCGTTATGTAGTACGATACGTCTTTAGAAATACTTTTATGTTCTTATTCTAATCAGTATCACGTGAATATTACTCATTTACAATGTAAGGCATAAAAAAATGTCACGGAATATGAAGAAATGACTCCCGATTTCTTAAATTATGTCACTGGACACGAAAAGTATTATCTAACTGATTCAAAAATGTATATTAACATTTTCTGTTGTAAAATTTTGAGTTAAAATTGATATAATTATACAGAATAAGTTACTTTTTATAGTTTGGTTTATCTGGAGTCAAATAATTTCTATGACCCAAGTCTGTATGTGTATTTCAAGTTGGTTCTAATTTATTATTAAGAGTTTGTGTTATAATTATATGCTAAAATGTTTAGTTTCATCCTAAATTTCAGTTTGTTCTTTTAACTTCTTTACAAATCACTATGTACATTAATCCTTCGTAAACCTATTAATTCCTGAAAGTTTTTCAAGAGATTAAATATATTTTTCAGCATATAATAAAGTATATAGTATTTGTACATTACATAAGCAATAATACAATAACATTTTCTCGTTATTATGAGAATTTAATATTCACTCGTAACTAGATGGCGATTAAACCACTTGGATAGCTATGCATATGAAATATACTGTATTAAGCATACCTTAAATTGGGGATGACCATGAAGCAATCTTAACATAAACGTATAAAAAAACTTAAAGATTATTTCAACAGAAAAAAAATGGACTGACTCAACGAATGGGGCAACACAGTTTTGAATTAGTATATTAACTTATGGTGCAGTAAAATAACAGATAACTATATTAGTTGAATACCAGCAGCAATGAAATAGTCTTGTTTGAACACTTAATAAAACAGATAAACTTGGCAAAAGATGTATTAAACTTTAATTATTATCCAATAAAATAACAGAAATCTGAATAAGATTGATAAAAACTACTATGTGTATGAATTACAGGTCAAATCCTCATCTAGAATAATCAACGGTGTCTAAGTTTACACGTAAAGAATTTAATAGCAGTAAATTATACGTTTCATTATCATCCAGTAAAAATAAAGTAGCTGCGGAAAATGCGGAACATTCCGCTTAAATTGACTGAATCATATGGAAAACCAACAGCACTTAATACACAATAAAACCTTATTGATGCCAATAAATGTTAATTATATGCTGTGTGAAATAATGGATCCCCATAGCTATAAGTTATATTATAATAATCACAGTCCAATAAAATAAAACAAAAAAAATAGTCTTTTAGCATACATTAAATTTGGAGTTTACTGAAATATTTCTAACTCTATACAGGAAATATTTTAAGTACATCACAACGAAATTTATGACTTCAGAAAAAAAAAGGGGGGGCAATTTTACAAAGGGGATAATTTTGGTATCATCAATATCGGCACATTATTACAAAGAAATAAATACTTGTGTGGAGGCACACTTTTAAAGTTATTTGGTGAAGACAAAATGTAATATTAAATAAATGACACCTCACAACAAAAATATCCCTCTGCGTTCAAGCCACTTAAATCAACCTACACACGTGATGAACGAAGCTATTTAACAACTGGAACAAAATGTATACAAGCACAATTATAGTTGATTCTGAAGTACCCGAAAAGCTGTATTATTAACTCAATATAAGCAAGGAGGAGAGCAATTTGGGTTAATTATGATTCTGAGTGAATCTTAAATGGATATATAGTAAGTATACTGCTCACCAAAAATGTACAGAAAAGTAATAACTACAAAACTCTTTGAAATACTGTGCATAAAACAAGATCCATGTTTACTGGAGAGACATTTCTTATACATCATAACTTAAAGAAAATTATAAACGTTACTTGTCCAGCTTATATGTACATTTCATCATGCAAGTACAATGAGCACAGATTATATGATTAATGGTAAGTTACAGATAGCTAGCTGCCTCCCCATTTACCTTGGTGTTTTTATTTAACAAATCTTTGTTGCTTAACTGACATTGATCTACTCCAAGATGCAGAAATTCACTCAGAGATTCATCGCAGAAACTATTGCTGTGACTCATGGCCAGTTCTAATATACTGTTCAAGTTGGTCAGTGAACTATCCTTTGAAAGACTACTGGCTGGACTGCTTGGACTTTGTAAAGCTTGACTAGTAACAGCAGCAGTCAATTTCTTGTTCATAGTTTCCAGACGAACAACCTAAACAAGAAAAGTTAATAAATATGACTGTATAGGCTGTTACAATCTAGCCTTTGCTTATCAAAATAAACTGTAAGTGATACTAAGAAACTTATAAGCTTCATTCAGAAACTAACAAAGCATTGTTACTAAAATTATAAGGCAAAATACTTCTTTTGTTCAACTGGATTTTTTGTTCTAACTATTCTGAACAAACCAGTACCATGAAATTTAAGGAAGCTGTCTCTACTCATTCTTAAGTCTGGTTTCTTATTCTTCATGAATTAAAACAGGAAGTAATACTTATTACAGATTTACAAATATAAATAAGCTAATATTTCATAACTAAACTAATAAGTAATTACAATCCCAAACATTATAATGACTTCATACAAGTATTATGTACTATAAACATTCTGTTATAAAAATGTTTTTGTTCCACAACATACATGCACGTTTTGCAAACTGTGTTTTAAGAAATAACTTTAGCAAGTCAAAATTGGAGTTTGAATTACGTAGAACTTTGTAAGCACGAATATCTGTACCTCCGCTTTCAGGCCAGAGACATATTCACATAGATCTTTACCATCTTCATTGTTCACAGCACCAAGTTGAAGCTGTAAGTGTCCAACTGTCATCTGGAAAAAAAAAGTTTGAATAGTGAGTTAAATAAACTAATATTTGACTTTTCTTATCATTAAAAATTTACCATTTCCAACATCATAGTCTACACAGATTCTCTCTGCAGCCTACTATAAGATGGGTGACTCGAAGTAATTTTCCATACACGGGGCAAGAAAAACATATACGTACACATTCATTTACTGCATCATTCTAACTGTATATAAAACAACGTAACAATTCTGGCATAGAGAAAGAAAAACAGTGTAGAAAGATACAAAATAAACTGATACAATTATAATTTCATTTCAGGTAAGTAGTTTCAGAAAATATGCAATGCTCATGCAGCCTTTAAAAATGTTTACAGTTGTTACATCATATGTGATGTGGCCTTTAAAAATGTTTACAGTTGTTACATCATATGTGATGTGGCCTTTAAATTTTTTTACAGTTGCAACATCATATGTGATGTGGCCTTTCAATTTTTTTTCAGTTGTTACATCATATGTGATGTGGCCTTTAAATTTTTTACAGTTGCTACATCCTATGTGATGTGGCCTTTAAAGAATCTTACAGTTACTACATCCTATGTGATGTGGCCTTTAAAAATCTTATAGTTTCTATATTCTATGTGATGTGGCCTTTAAAGAATCTTACAGATGCTACATCCTGTGATGTAGCCTTTAAAGAATCTTACAGTTACTACATCCTATGTGATGTGGCCTTTAAAAATCTTATAGTTTCTACATTCTATGTGATGTGGCCTTTAAAAAATCTTACAGATGCTACATCCTATGTTATGTGCCACATTGAATTTCTAGTTGTATGTTGGGGTCAAGCTTAATAACTATATATTTGGAATAGTAATTATTATCTAACAAAATGAAATGAAAATTATTATGTCTAATATAAAATCAAGATAATGTATCCACTTATTCTTTAGCTTCTATTAACCCTTGCTACACACTTGTTCTCACAGTATCACACCAATTCCAATCTCACAATCTTTACTATTACATATAACCTTCATTCTAAATACATTTTCAATTAGAAGTAAACTCCAACAGGAGACAATGAATGTATAATATTTAACATTAAATTTTTACATGAAAAAACCAGTAAGTGAAAAACGACTCTGGGAACAGGACTTTAACCCAGGATCCCTGGCCTACAAGGTCAGTGTTCTACCACTGTACAAACTGTCCTCCTCGATTTTAACCAGTATATAAATTTTTTACCATGAATTCGGTTTTATTTACCAAGTTTGGGATTTATGGCTTGAAAGATTAAAACATACCCATAGTAAAATGTGCATTGTAAATAAAATAAAAAAAACATGGCTGGGAAGAAATTTATAACATGATTTAGATCCTACATTATATCATAAGGTACACAATGTAAACTTTCAATCTATTTACCTCAGAAATTTAAACTGTAATTTCTTCAGAATTTAATCAAAATAAAACAGAAAGAAATACACAATTGATATTCTGTATTATTGCCCTAAACATTTATTAAAACATGTTTTGAGCACAAGCTTACCTTCAAATTTAGGTATTTTATCACAATCAGTAAGCCCTCTACACAAAAGTTGAGTTCATAATTCTCTTAGCACACGCACTTGTAAAATTTGTCAGAAGTTCCTTTTAAACACTTTCAATAGAATCAGTTAAAAGAAGAACAGAAGTATGCAAACTTGGATTCTAAGGTAACTTTTATATGTACAAGCTATAAGGTGTCAGAGTCATGCCTCCCACATATATGTACAAGCTATAAGGTGTCAGAGTCATGCCTCCCACATATATGTTTAAGTCATTCCTCCCACATATATGTTCAAGTCAAGGAGCAGATATGAAGATTTATAGAATAATATTATGCTTTCTTGATTATAATGTAAATAAATATGAGCAATCAAATAGTTGAATCAAAGAAGTACACGTACAGGTTTAATGTGATACACATTTAAGTAGTTTTTATTTGTCCCTCGGTGTTCTTGAAGAACTATTTATATATAAGATCATTTTGGGATGTTGACTTTTGTGACTTTTTAAGCATATCTATGGTATGCTGTGATTTCCTAGATAACTTAGTTTCTTATGTTCTAATATATCATATTTAATTCATTTTAAGTTACTTTTAGGTGTTTGACATTTGTAAGTTTCATCAAGTGTTGATGATGTAAGTGAACAAGTTGAATGTGTTTTGTTTTTTTTTAGAATAAGATTGCTATAAATCACTAATAAAAGTGATGGAAGAAATTTGAATATAAAAGTATTGCTGAACTTTCAAGATTGAATATATTAGCTGTCCTGTTTTTCTTTAATTATACATTTTGGTGGTGTTTCATTCTTGTGTAGATTCAAGTCAATTTAAATCAAATTAGACGTCAAGAAGATCAAGTGAAAAAACTCCAGAATATGTTGGATCAAACATCAGAAAGAGAAAGAGAACTTCTCAGAGTCATGCCTCCCACATATATGTTCAAGCTTATAAGGTGTCAGAGTCATGCCTCCCACATCCACCTTATAGCTTGAACATATATGTGGGAGGCATGACTCTGACACCTTATAACTTGAACATATATGTGGGAGGCATGACTCTGACACCTTATAACTTGAACACATATGTGGGAGACATGACTCTGACACCTTATGACTTGAACATATATGTGGGAGGCATGACTCTGACACCTTATAACTTGAACACATATGTGGGAGACATGACTCTGATACCTTATAACTAGTTTACGCACGCCACACAGTTTTGTTTCTTCTCCCTACCACACTAATTTATTTAATATAATTATACGACTTAGATTTAGAAACTTATTAAGCCATAAATAGAGAATTAAGGTTAAGAAAGACATAACCCAGTGTTGTTTTACAAAGAGAACAGACTACACAGATTTTATAGGTATCAAGACACTGGTATAATTCCTGATACTGAAGACTAGGGTATTTCTGTTATGATTTTTAGTTTTTTCTTGGTTTTATTAATTTCTGTTTCGTAAGTAATAACCTACCACAATGTTTAGAATCACTTCTTATGATATCTTTAAATTCATTTTTTACACTTATGAAGATTATTTTCCATTGTTCATTTAGTACATGGGCTTAGGATTAACTTCAGTCTTTTAAGTTGGTTGAATCTTCTGAGATAGTGTTGGGATCATGACTTAAAATATCATAACAGTAAAGATATCCAACGCATGACTTAAAGCATTCTTATCAGTACAGAGTTCTGGTTTTCTGATATACTGATTTATGACATTA